TTCTCTGTGTGTGATTGTGTGTGTGATCCATTTGGCTCTCCGTCATCCCACAGCCTGGCACTCTTACTGTCCTCTGTGTGTAACTGCAAAACCAGCCTTCTCTTTTTTCGCCTTAAGAGACGCCTTATGATCAAAGAGCTACACCAGCCACACATTCACCCACACACACTGCTGCAATGGCAGCAGGCGCTGCATACACACATCCAGTATCATAACCTGGGAACCTTCCATGGTGGCGCACAAAATGACAGACTCAGTCCCTAATTAGGATGTGCAGTTTCATAAATACTGTAGGCAAACATACTATGATAGTGTTACCATTTAATTTTTTTTTTAGATTAATTCCTTGGTCATCTTTTATTTTGCACTGTGAAAACATATTTACAACCCACTGTTTTTTCCCCTTTTACTAATAAGGATAAGGATAATCACCTTTATTGGCCAAGTTTGTTACACACAAGGAATTTGATTCCGGTACAGAACCGATGGCGGCCATTTGCCACGCCACCTCAACCGATGGCTCTAACCATCGAGGGCAACGGGGAATTCAGTGTCTTGCCCAAGGACACTTCGACACGTGGACTGCAGGCACTGAGATTTGAACCTTCAACCTCTTGGTTGGGAGACGACTGCTCTACCGCGCCACTGTTGCCTCCCCAGTCATTTTAAACATCCTCATTTTTAATATGTGCAATAATAACTCTTCACTGTCTCACATGGGAAATTTGCTCGTGAACCAACCAAAAACACTTGGCAAAGACACAGCTAAATGGACTCATCCAACAGCTAAGAATCATCATTTAACAAAGGTAACACAACAGTGAGCATTAAGTGGAGGCAATAAGTAAAGAACAATTTAAAATGGGTAAAACCAGAGAATAAAAGGACAAAGATTTTACTATTGGTTCAAGTTTAAGCTAATATTTTTTGCCATTACTCCTCCTGGCCATTCCTTTCCTGGTAGGACACTCAGACCTACAGTATATCATTACCACTTACTTTGCAGATACATTATATGATAATTAACTGACCAGCACTGGCGGTGTGGCCTGCATACTAGAGATCAACTTTAATGAGGCCATTAATGGATCACTCAGCCATATCCAATTACAAGGTTGTCGCAATTGTGTTAAAGGAAGAAACTGAAAGGAAAGACCATGTTTATACTGCTTTGCTTTTCTGCATTAGCTTACAAATACTGTATGTTTTACTGACTGCAGACAGTCACACAGAAGTTTGTGGTTTTGGTTCTTGTGCACTGTAGCTTGCCAACAGTTTGAAGTTTTGAAATATTAATATGCTCTCTTTAGTGAACCTAAAGAAATGGTATTTTCTTTGTTTTTCTTTTCATTTGCCCCTATAGCTGGATCTCTTTTGCGCTCAAACACTAACACTCATACAAATTAAGAGGCCAGATGTCACTTGACAGAGGTCGGTGTGGGGTGGAGACAGGTGGTTTTGAGGTGGGGAAGCAAAGCATATAGCTCCTGCATGGCTGGCGGGAGGAGAAATAAATGAGCTCTGAGCTGAGAAGATAGAGAGCATGGGCACATATGGCAGGGGAACTGTCTGGCACAGAGATGAAGATAGATGGGCTCGGGGTCTGACTTTAAGTCTAGCAAAATACTGTGTAGGTACAGGCACGTGGTGGCATCTTCACTGGTGACACTGAAGATATTACAAACTGAAGGACTCCTTAATGCTGGTATTAGTACTGTATGCACATTATATCCACTGATAAGAGTTAATACATAAGAGCTGAAATATACACCAATCATCCATAACATTATGACCACTGGCAGGTGAAGTGAATAACACTGACTATCTGTTTCAGTGGCACCTGTCAGTGTGTGGGGTATATTAGGCAGCAAGTGAACATTCAGTCTTCAAAGTTGATGTGTTGGAAGCAGGAAAAATGGGCAAGTGTAAGGATCTGAGTGAGTCTGACATGGGCCAAACTGTGATGGTGAGGTGATTGGGCCAGAGGCATTATGTTTTTGGGTTGTCTGACTGTCTGAGACTGTCTGTTGTGAGCATGATATGTCAGGGAAACCCTTATTTTTTTAGTTGTGGCACAAGTGTCCACTTGGATTCAGGGATGAACTGATTAGAATTTGGTGGTCAAAGGTGAAGGTCAGAGATCTCATGTCGGTCCATTTCCTATGAATTTGACTGGTTGGCAGAAGCATACAAAGCAATAATTCCAGTTTGGGAAATGCATTTTTGGAAATGCGTTTTCTTGCCTAGAACTAGATGAGAAGATCAATACCACATAGAGTAAATATGAATATGGAGCCCAGAGATGGTAAATGCAGCTTAGCATAAAGACTGCAAACTGCCTGGATCTGTCCAAAGGTAGAAAATATCTGTCTGACAGTTCACTCATTAATGCGTTTGTTTAATTCCTATAAGAACTGAGCTATAAAAATGGCAATTGGTGTGTTTACGGGCAGTGTTCTCCTAGAGTCCTGTTGTTACAATAAATTGAGGTTTCCAAAGATGCTAGTTGGTGTTTTTTGCTACTTATGGACAGAGCCAGCTTTATTATTTCCTCTTGATTCCAGGCTTTGTGCTATGTTAAGTTAAGCTAATCTCCTTCTTGTTTTATAGCATCACAGCTTCTGTAAATAATGTTTCACAAAATATTCTTATCTATTAATTGAATGAATCTCTCTATGCTAAAGTCACAGTTAAGCAGATAAAGTTTAGCTCTGCGGATATGAAACCGATATAATTATAAGTGTCACTTGTCAATGTAGATATCCTGAAGGTAAAATGTATAGAGCCTAGCCCTAGACAGACTTTAACTCTGTTATTCCTCACAGCCCCAGCACTGTGCAGTCTCTTTGTGTCCATTCATTATGAAGCATCCTCTCCTCCCACATCTGTTTCCTCACTTCTTATGTCCTCATGCCTCTGAAATCAGAATTGTTCTGTTTATCTCTTGCAACATTCTCTCTCCCTCCCCATCTTCATTTTTTCCTGCTTTGCTTGCTGTGTGTTCATAGTACAGAGAGTAGGAACTAATTTCTGCTTCCTCTGTAGTAAGTGGAGAATTTAATTGAAAACCAAACTGTAGTTGAAATTTAACCTCAAGTGTCCTTCAGCCTTGGGGAGCTACTGCAGCTGTAAGACAATCTGTTGTACTGTATTTCACCAGGCACACTGTACATCAAGAGGCACTCTCATTTCAGCTAGTTTGCCCCTCTTGTCTGTACATCCACCTCATCTTATCCTGTCCTCTCTTGTCTTCTTTCCTCAGCCCAGCTCCAACTTTACAGCCCTCAGCCCCCCGCCAGCCCATTGGCGCTCTAGTCCAGTGGGACCATGATGCTCAGCAGCTCAGTGGAGGTACCCAGCCCGGGTGCAATGAGTGGCCTCAGCAGCCTCAGTGCGGCAGCCCGGAATGTGGTGCGCTCCTCCAGCATCTCGGGGGCCATGTACAGCCTGGAGAAGAGTCCCGGCAGCAGGGGCCCGGACTCCGCGTCGTTGAGTGGCAACAAGAAGCGGCGCTCCAGTCTGGGTGCCAAGATGGTGGCCATTGTGGGGTTGTCACAGTGGAGCAAGAGCACGCAGCAGCTCAACCAGCAGGGTCAGTTTACAGTTTGAGATGCTTCTGTAGGATATAAACTCCATTTATCCCTTTGTTGTTCCTTTTTCCCTTTTTGTTCTTCTCATTCCCACAGATCTCCTCTCCCTTCAGTGCAGCTCTTATTCTCATTCTCTTCTGCCTTCTCTGTCTTTTGCCTCTTTATTCCTACAGTAGTTCCTGTGTGTGAATACTGATATTTAATTTGAGTTTAGATTTTAAGGTGCAAATCATATCTTATTTTGAAATGGAGACTGACTTTTTAATAGGGGAGATTTTATCATAATCCTCCTGGCTTGGGTTTAATATTATCAAATATTACACATACAGTGCTTTTCTGGTGTGGATAAATTGGTACTAAGAGTGGCCTAGTGTATACATAATATCATTATCACTCCAAAGCCTTTAAGGTGGTGCATTGCAGTTATACCTACCGTACCCATTTTTTATTCAACAAGCTCTCTGTGCCTTTACCTTTTATGTTATTACCACTGTAATGAATCCTTTATAAAAGGCTACAACACTGTTGTGAGCATCATGAGTTAAGATTAGAATGAGACAAAGCATCTAATGCCATCTTCACTACACAAGATCTTTTGAGGATACATTTTGATGAGTGCTAAAAAATATAGGTTTGATATCCAGGCCTAGGTCTGGAATGTTTCAGATTGTCCATCCTCTGTGCCACTGACACAAGTCACAGTAGGTGGGAGGGAGAATTTACCGTCTTCAAGAGCAGGTCTCTTTATCTCGCTGAGCACACTCTCACCTAAATCCTGTATTATTATCTAGTATAAATACCTGTTTTGGCACGCTTCAGTTTGAGCTGGCTGTTGCTCCAGTATTCAGTACACAAATAAACAGCTCACTGCCCTCAGGTACAGCTGACACTTGTCTGACTCACCGAAAGCTGTCGATACCACAGGGCCTTTCATGTCTCTGTGTTTGTGGTGACGAGAGCGCAATGGAGGGAAATATGTGGATGAGACGGCTAGGTGGGGTGGAGGATGTAGAGGAGAGGAAACAGAGATGAAGGGTGTGTCCAAATGTAGATGTTCTCAGCTGCTAGAGGAACACACTGCGCCTGGAACAAAATCACGATATCATGCAGTGCTCCTTCTTCTTCCATGCATGCTGCATACCTCCTTGCTATAGCAGGAGCCTCCACGGTGATGGTTTCTGGCCTGTGTTGGCCACAGCAGGCTTAAAATACCTTTGCAAAACCTTCCTCACATGAACTGAGCTTACACAGTTAAAGCTACATTATGTAACTTAAGGTAGCATCAGCATGAAACTCCAAATCAATCCACTCTGCTCCACTCAGCGCTCCCTTTCCCTGCTCTGCTGTGCTCCGCTACACTCCACCACACTCCGCCCAGCTCCTCAGATATTTGTCCTTATAAAATTAAAATAAATGAGAATGCAACAAATCTTAAATGATCAAGCAGAAATAACGAAAAATCTCTGACTGGTTAGAGAGATCAATCCCACTCAAAACCTTTTAGAAGCTAATATCTCTGCACTGCTGCCAGTGCTGTTCAAAGAGTCTGGGTCACAGGAGACTTCAACAGCCCCTCTGCACATTAAGTTTTGGATCATATTTCTTAGAAAGATTTGAAAAAGTTACATACTGTGGCTTTAATGTTCATGTAAAAACAAAGTACATTTTCACCACTTTTTAAATAATTTTAGCAAAGCATGGGTACAGTGTTGGATTACATACAATTTTAAAACAGGAGATGGCTGAGAAAACAAGGATAGTGACATCAGCTCTGACCAGGAAGGAGGCATTTTAAAGGTTTTAAATCTGAGGAGAAAGGGGAGCACTGTTGTTGGATTGGTATTTATTATTGCAGTTGAGTACTGGAAAATGTCATAAGTGATTCCTTAGATTAAATAGTGCAAGGTTGGCACAGATAATCAGTGTTTCAGTTGATTTACTGTAGGTGTACATTGAATCACAGTCCAGGGACCAGATACATAAACGATTCGTACACTAAAAAAATCATGAATATCTCTTTTCCCATGCATAAATTCTTATGTATAAACACAATGTGCGAGAAAAATGTGGGCATCTCAGGCATAGTTCAGACCATGCGCGCACATGGGTTGAGTAGGTGCGATGTGGTGAAGCCAATGAAAAACAGCCAGTTTTAAACAGCTTGTATTATTTTTTAGCTGTTTACATGTACTTCAGTTCATAAAGTGAATTTTTAAACACGTTTGCCTTAATGTTATTTTCCTGTTTTTCATTTGATTTTCTGTAAACTGCTGATATTAGTCAGTTTTTATTTAATGATGAGCGAGACACCACTAGCCTACTAATAAGCCTTTACAGATGATTACATTACAGCAAAAAGCTGTAGCTGTGCATAATGGTCATGCATGAAAGTCCCTTTTGGCCTTTCTCATTTAGGGGTCGAATTGTCACAATGATGACTCACATGTTGACATTTGGCACGTGTTTTACACCGTATGCCCTTGGTGATGCAACTCTGACTCGAACCTGGGTCGCAGCAGCGAGTGCGCTGTGCCTTAACCACTAGCCTACTCGGGACGGCTAGTGGTCATGCATAAGGATGGCTATTCTGGTGTTTCTGGAGGATCTTGACATTGCCATTATGAGGCGAGAAATAATGTTTTAGAGATCGGTTTGATACCCTATAAAGCTGTCTGGCTAAAATTGCGACACATTCATCTACTGTAGATCATGTAGGAGGTACCAGTCCTCCTGTTGCCACCCTCATACTCTCTGAGCGCACATATAAGCTTCACTGCCTCTCGCATACAATCCGATTACTTTTTCAGTACTTTAGCCCTGGTCCTCTGCTCTGAACTGAACTGAGCTGTAGACTCACTTCTCTTTTTATGCGTTCACACAGTTTTAGTCATGAGTCTATGTAGAGTTTTGTGCATCTGGCCTTAGGTGTTTTACATAAATGGTTTTACCTAAAATTCACCCAACAGCAAGATTATGTCACTGCACTACTAGGAATTGGCCCACACAGCTTTATTAGGCTGAGCCTGGAAACCTGTTCCTAGAGACAAATAATGTTGTTTACTCAATAACCTGGTGAGGTCTAAATAGGCTCCCCTAATCTATTCTTCTCCCTGTCTCCTTATTTGTATCAGCTAGAGGTGAAATTGGATGCATATATTTAGAGCTCCGCTCAATTGGTCAGCTAATGAACAATAACGTACAGGTTGAACTGGTCCCCAGAAAAGAGGGGATGTGTGAGGGGAAGTAAATTTGGGACTTTGGATTCTTTGAATAGGAAAACGAAATGGAAATACTGTTATTCTGTAAAACAAAGATGTGATAAGTCTGTTGATTGACTGACATTGATTGACTTCTATGATCAGAGTTTAATCAGTCTTCTATTTAATAACAAAATCTTTCTGTTGGGTGTTTTTTGTCTTCTAATTAGTAAGATTTATTGGCAAGAATGAGTAAGTAAACAGACTGAATACAATGAGCGAGGGGTAATGGATAAAGTGACTGAGCTGGGGTGGTTGAGAGACACAGATGTAAAAAAAAAAAAGACAGTAAATGGAGACAAACATGTCAGTGCATCACCATTAAAGTACTATTAGGAGGTAACGTGGTTATGGTGGTGGTGTTGTGTCAGAATTTCTGCAGAGTTTCTTCTAGTTGTTCTCTGTTTTGTGAATTAGATCCAGTGAATTTACAACTATCAACAGGATTTCTCCTGGTAAGGTCTTATGCAAGCATGTTTTCTTGTAGATGTATCAGAGTAAGAATAGCATGTTTTCAAAATAACATCATTTCCAACATAATTTTCAAGCTGAAAAAGGTATAATGTCACACCTCCTGAAAATACAGTTGTTAAAGTTATTTGGACTTAAAGTTTTTACTGTTTTTAGTTGGAATATGCAGCTGTAATAAGCCTTTCTCATCTGATGACCTTTTACACTAGCCATCATTAGGGTTGTAACAATAAAATCAGGTTACAGTTTAGTACTGTGAGTGCTACAGGGTTCATTGAAGAAGAATGGAAAAACCCCCTGACCAATGCAGCCCTGTATATTAAAACACAGTGGGGAGTTGCATTTTTGCATTAATGTGAATGTATCATCACACTCCATCATACTGGCTGCTGCTCCTGTTCTGTTATGTACTGATATTGCAAGACAGCTTTTGCCTCGACCAGAAATATTGTCACGTTTCAATACTGCAATATCTCATGGCACGAAATCTTGCCACACCCCTAATAAAGACTGCAACAAACCTTCCATTGTTTCCTATCCTTGGTATCATGTTGAGCCTCCTTAGGTTCTGACCTCTCTCTGCGCCTATCTGCCAAAGATGACAATGTGAATAAAGGTGTAAAATTAGGTTTATTATAACATAAAAAATAGAGTTGGCAGGTTAAAGAACAGCTCATAATTGTGACCCCTAATAAAATACACAGCATAGAAGAGAAGGATAGATAAGTTTATTCATTTGTCATTGATGTACTGGGCATTTTTGAAACACTGCAGAAATTTGTGGTAGACTGTTATGTTGCATACAAACCTTTGTACATTTCTACAGACATAATTTGTTTCCGTCCATAATTCATGTCAGTTTTCTTTATGTTGTTGTATTCTTAGGCCCGACTCCCACTGTCATTGTCGTATTATTCTAGGTTTTGAAATAGGTGGGCTTTGGGGATGCCATTTTGGTTCTGTCTGTGTTCTATTTATTACTTGCTATTATTAGTACCAGTGAGGAGTGAGTCTGCACGCACACACAAACGGTTTCCCAGGTTTAATGGGTGAGTCACTCCTTTGCTGAACATGGTCTTGTCTCCTGAGCAGGTTTATCCAAGACAGTGAAAGCAGAGCTAACAGAGTGGCTCCCAGTACTCTGTCGGTCAGCACGGAGGGACACTGATGAGATGCAGTGTACCAGTAGTTAGAATAAAGGAAACCAGGCATGGTCATGTCTGTTTTTTGTGTGCTTTTTGTTGAGCATCCCCCTGTGAGTGTGTGCATGTACA